TCCGTGCCCGGCCCCCGCAGGGCCCCCGCGCCGGCCGCGTTTGGTCTCGGGGTGATGAAAGAGGGGCACTTTTGCTCCTTGCCGAGCTCGTCCCCAGCCCAGGCCCTGCTTTCTCCTCTCTCCCCTCCCACTGAGGTGCCTTTTCACTGCTGGAATTTGCCTTGATGAGGGTGTGGAGAGGCAGTGTCAGCTCCTGTTCTCAGACAAGTGCTGACCTTTGATTTCCACAGCTTGTTTTCCCTACCTGTGTGTGGAGTTAGAGCACCCTGCCCTCTTCCTACGCTTCAGCCACGTTTTCTTCCCCCCCCCCCCATTGTCTCCTATTGATAAACAGCAAACTCTTATTTTTAGTCTCCTTTCTCTACTCTTCTTCCTATGGAGAGTTACACGTTTCATTCAAGGGAGATGGAACATTGTGAGGGTTCTTGTTTGTGCTGGAAGAGCTCTTCCTGACCCCGTACTTTCTTTTCTTTCTGGAAAAAAAATATGGATGAGAGAAACGTGTAAAATGGTTTTGACCCACTAAAGCTCTCCAGCTCCTGCATGTTTCTTGAAAGCTGGACAAGACGTTGAGCTTTCATCTCAGCTGGGTTAAATCTGGAGAGGAGAAAAGCTACAGAAAAACAGAAATAAGGAACGTAAATCTGAAAAAAAAAGAAAGCTCATCAGTGTTTTTAGGTGGCTGTTCAGTGTCACCAAGGAGACAGAGCTGCTCCAAGCCAATTTAACTTCAGACTTGGCGGTGTTTGGATACATTTGGGTAAACTTGGAGCCATCAGTTGATAACCTGAGTGGTGTCAGAGGTGTGAGGGACTGGCAGTGCCACAAGTCACTGCTCTGGGGTGAGTTTCTGGAAGTGCCAACTCACATCTGAAGTGCTCAGGGGGCACTGGCAACTCACCGAGGTCTGCCCAGAGACACGAGGGTGCTGCTGCACTGTGGGCTCCAGCACTTCTCCTGTGAGTTATTGCATTATATGGTTTAGTCCAACCTTTCTTAATGGAAAGTTGGTGACAGTAGAAATTATAGATGTATTTATATGTATAAATACCAATTTTGGCTGATGGCTGCAGAGTATTTGCCCCAGCAGGCAGTGAGGAAAGTAAAGGTGCAGCTTAGCATTTTACAGCTAATTTTATACACTCATTTCTCACATTTCCCTCAGCAACTCTCAAAAAAACTTTGTTTTTTAAGGGAGGAACCCTGTAAAATCATCCTGGTTTGCTGGTGGCTCCTCAGAGCAGCACCTGCAAACTTCTGATACCTTAAAATCTCGTTTGGGTGTTCAAGTGTCACACACAGAATACGCTGAGTTGGAAGAGACCCACGAGGGTCAGGGAGTGCAGATCTTAGCCCTGCACGGGCCCATCCCCAAAAGCCACACTGTGGGCCTGAG